AAAAAACACAAGATCCAATGATATAAATCAATTTAAAAATGTGCGAAACGTCCAATATTTCTTTCCACCCCCTGTATGCTCGCAAATTAGTAATAATTAAGATAATCAATGATTTTCAATATTTGATCTCAGCCATTGAAGTTACTATATAAACCTTATAAGTCGAATTGATTTCAAAAATCCTGTCTAAATAACTGAAGTTTTAAAATATCCGGTCATTTTGATCTAATGGGATTGGCTAGCATACTTTGTGAATTTTTTTTATGTTAGTGTTTTCCTAAATCTTTGTCTTTTTTAAATATAAAATATCTGAAAAGATGATAACAAAAAGATATTAACCTAAATATTGTAATAATAGAGTAGTACGTAATCGTATTAAATAAAAAACTATCGCATCACCAATTGTTTATAGCAATGTTAAAAAAGTAAATGAACGTTATATTTTTTAATAGAATGAACTCGACAAGTGTATTGTTTAATTATGTACAGCCATTGCTTTGAATTCGATGATTCTGTATAGATATAATGAGTGGAAGCAACAATGAATCATTCAAACACACTGAATTCTATTAATAATGCAATATTCAAGGACATAAAATCACAATATTAGGAATCGGAAATTTTAATGACATTGCTCATGTAGAGCTTTAGATTCGTATTCGTAATTCAACGAATATTCGTATTTGGCAAACGTTCAAAAAGTTGCATTAGTTTATTTTACAAATAAATTTTTATTCGAATAAAATGTGTCGTCGAATGATTTTTATTCAAATAAAATGAATTTATTCGAGGAATATTAGTAATTCGTCGAACATCCGAATAAACCCTTGTTGATAAAATTGATAACCTTCACGGACTCTAGTAATTCAAGATATCCCGGAAATTTTATTTACAACAAACTAATATGTTTTAATGAAATTATTTGTTAGAATATAGCAAATACAGTAACTGCTTTTGGTCTCTTATTATCAGATTTTGCATCAAATATTAACTTATTGATTATCCAAGGATTGTGGGTGCAAAAGATTTTTAATGAGAAAAAGATATATCTCTTGCAATTAAATATGTGTTTAAACTTGTGGCTACTTAACGTTAAATAGATAACATGACGACGATTTACCTAAATCCTAGGCACAGCAAAAAAGTGTGTGGTTTTTAAGGATAAACCAATCAAATCGCAAAATATGATTAACGGTGAGGGTATAGTAAAATTTTCGCAAGAGGTTTTCCCGTCACAGTGGCTAGGCATCTTAGATTACCTGTTGCAGGCATTACAAAAATCCCGTGCATTACATAGCGATACATTTAAGGAAATTTATTAACCAAATATAGGATTAAAAAAATTCGGTTACGCATAATCTGATATTACATGTACATGTATGTATCCTTGAATTTCAGACAAAAATCTCGTGTTTCTTCTCGGCCATATATGCGCCATAAAGCAAGCCATCGCTTTTTATATCAATATTGTAATACTGTATTACAAACTACTCGAAAGAAAAACCGATCTAAACTACCAAAAAAAAAGATAAAAACCAACATTTAACCAAAATATTCATTAAAAAAGAACAGGTTAATTAAACTCTTTCATCAAAAAAAAAAATTAAATTCTGCATAATATGAAACTTTCATTTCCTTTAATTTCGCTTTCGCTGTTCCTCTCCAATTCACTCTTCTTAACGACTTCAGATATTCCACAAGTTTCTGCAAAAACAGCCAACGAATGGCGCCAACGCACAATCTATCAATTGCTAACTGATAGATTTGCGCAACCTTCAAACGCTAAAAATCAGACATTGTGCGAATCGAATAGAGTCGAGTATGAAATTAGACGGTATTGCGGTGGAACTTTTAAAGGAATTGTCGAAAATTTAGATTATATCCAAAATTTGGTATGTTTATTTGATGATAACTTATTCCGAACGGAATTTCAAAAAAGCCATTTAATTGATAATGAGACTTTTTCTGTTTGGGTTTAGGGATTTGATGCTATTTGGATTAGTCCCGTGGTGAAACAGTTCGAAGAAGAAACGCAATATGGTCTCGGGTGGCATGGATGTAAATATTAACTTATATGGGATTTTTCATCAAAATAATCAATATATATATTCAAAAACAACAATTTGTCTGCCTTTTTATTTAGACTGGGCTCAAGATATATATTCAATTAATCCACATTTCGGCACCGAACAAGATCTAAAAAATTTAGTCGAAGAAGCACACAAGAAAGGAATTTGGGTTATGGTGGATGTCGTTGCGTAAGTTAATTTACCAGAAATACTTTCCTTTTTTTTTTAGTTAGACTTTAAGATATTTTACCATTTCTCCTTTAATAGAAATCATATGGGCCCACAACGTAATAAAACACCAAGAACAGACGAATACGTAAAAAGTTATACGCCATTTAACGATACTAGTAATTATCATTATTATTGTAATATAAACAATTGGAATGTGAGTATTTACTTATTTTTTGCTGTAAAAAATTATAGAATGCATTCGATATACATGTATTTAATTTCTTTTTTTCTTAGGATCAACACGAAGTGGAATATTGCAGTATAGGTGGCGCAGATCTTCCTTTACCAGGTAAATTATAACTTTTAACGTTAATAATTTAATACCGACACTGATAAAAAAAATTTAATTGACCATTATTGCTTCTTTTTCTTTTTTTCTTGAATTGTGAATAGATCTTGACACAGAAAACCCACAAACTGCATCCCTTCTCATCAACTGGATTTCTTCGCTAATTAAAACTTACAATTTCGACGGAATTAGAATTGACACAGTAAAACACGTGCGAAAAGATTTCTGGGCTAATTACACAAAATCGGCGGGAGTTTTTTCCATTGGCGAAGTTTTTGATGGGAATTATGGTTATGTTGCTGATTATCAAAATGATATAGATGCATTGCTTAGTTATCCGTTGTATTATACATTGAACAGTGTGTATGCGGACGGTAATTCAATGTATGGAATCCGTGACGCATTGAACCAAAATAGACAGAGTTTTAAAGATACGACTGTTTTGGGTAATTTCTTGGATGGGCATGACGTTCCGGTATATTATATTTCTTGAGTGACTTTTGACTTTTATTAAAAAATTTTGCTGATGTATAAATGTATCCTAACATGACAATAATTTTATTTAATAGCGTTTTCTCTCGAAAAAAGCAGACCAATCCATCCTACGAAATGCACTCACATTTATCTTATTAGCTGACGGAATTCCAATCGTTTACCAAGGAACAGAACAAAATTTCAACGGCAACCCAACAGTCAGCAACGGTGGCAACGATCCATGGAATCGTGAAGCACTCTGGTCATCAAAATACTCTCAATCTGCACCAACTTACCAATTCATCTCGAGAGTTCTCATTTTCCGAAAACTGCTTCCTTCGAATTTTTTTTCCGAATTGAGCGTTGAAGCATGGGTTGACGACAAAGTTTACATGTTTTTCAAAGGTCATGTAATGGTCGTCACGAGCAACTACGGTGAAAATAGTGGGATTTCTCGCAATATCACTGTACAAGGAAACGGAAGATGGAGTTCTGGAACGGATATGATTAATATTCTGAGGTGTGAAGAAGTGGTCAAAATTGATGGGAATGGTAATTTGCTTATAAAACTGGATCAGGAACCTAAAATCCTATATCCAACGAAAGAACTGAGTGGTAGTGGACTTTGTAAATTATGATTTTATTAATTATCCTTCAATTTAATTTTAATTTATAGTTTTACACATTTATAAAATTTTTAATCTTTAATTTTAGCAGTAATGCTTGAGAACTAAAATAGAAAACAATAAACAATACATGTATAACGTTCAAGATTTGACAGATTTTGATAATCTTCAAAATTAATTGAATGAGATATAATATAAAAGAAGTCTTTCATTGTAAATACTGCAAATAAAAAATGAATTGAATGAATTTAAAATGAATAATTAATATTTAAACTATTTAAACTTTTCAATTATGGGATTTAGGATATAAAAAATTAGCTTAAGACAATTTGTCAAATGTTCGTTAGAAATTGCAAGATGTTATTATAATAAATTAAAGAATAAAGAAATACTTAATTCTAATATAAAATAGAAATATTTGAGCAATTTTTTTTAAATTGAAATACAAAATATTGTATTTTCTAAGATAATATATCGATTAAATTGATTTACGTGTAACGGTAATGAGGATTGATTTTTGTCCGATTATATTGTTAAATCGGGCTGGTGCGAAATCCCGAACTCCAAACAATGTAAAGCCGAACGTTCATAAGCCCAAATGATCGAATATCCAAATCCCGAATGAACGACATCCCGAAAGATCACGAAATCGTGGTATGCCATGCATTTTGGGATACGTGTACTATACCGTAATTCACTGCATAGCGATAGAATATCTAGTGTACGTTACATTTCACCTCCAAGGTTAATTAGTAAAAAACAGAAAACAACTAATAAAAACGGAGGTGGGTACCTTACATGTACATGGAGGGTAGGGTTGTTAATGGAGGGTTATTTATTCTACGCAACGGATTACGGTACTTTCGGGATTTCGATCTTTCGGGCTTATAAACTTTCGGGATTGTGTTCTTCGGGATTTTGACCGCTACAGTTTTGCCTGCATTAAAATTTTTCGCAAACTGACTTCTAAATCCAGTGAAAATATATTTTTTAAAAAAAGAATATATATATTTTTTTAAAAACTTGTATCATATACAAATAAACCTATCAATTATCTGGTAAACCTATCAATTATCTGGTTACTATATAAGGATGTTCCAATATAAAAGTGCTGTTATAGGAAGATTGAATTGTATCGATATAATAGCAACACAAAAGAATATTTTATTGACTATTTCAAAATATCATCGAGGATTTTTAATATAACTAAAATATATAAATTCTATATTGAAATTATTTTATATAAAGATATAAAAATAATTTAATAAATTTATTATTAGAAAATATTTAATAAGATCAAATCGATTAATTTTAACAAAATATTATGTAGATTTTGTATATAAATTGATTAAAAGGTTATATTAAAATATTATTAATTAATAAAATATGAGAATATAAAAATTGTTAGCTAATTATGTAGTGGCAACTAAAAATTATATAGCGGTGCGTCAAATTAATAATATACCGTATATTTCCGCCCCCGAATTAAGCTACGTCCCTTTAAACAATTTCTAAAAAAACATTAATATCACAATAAAGATTCTGTTCGACTTATCGTTACTGTTTTCGCTTATATTTCCTTAATGACGGGATATTGTATTTCGAAAATTTTTTTCCGTATTCCATTTCATAAGTAAGAATACTGTTATTTTCGATCCAACAAGTAAATTAACGATTAATCCAGAACAACTTTATAATTTCTGCCAGAATTGACGCTAATGATTTGATGTCTACTTTTGCAGAATACGATTTAGTTCTGTAACACCTCTTTCAATTTTTAAACGATGTTTGGAATCGTGTCGTCGCCACCTCATTATGTGTTTATATGAGATTGTCTAACTTTTATTTTTTTATTGGTGTCATTTTTTTATATCAGTGTTGTCACTTGATTTTAGAAAATCTTATGACCATCAAATTCATGTACTCATAAATCCTTTCTTGTCTTTCAGAAAAAAATGATGTGTAATATTAAAAATAAACTAATCTTTCTTTATTTTCTCACCTTTTTCACAAAGTAAAATTAAATTTCAATTAACTAGAAGCATCTATTGTACAAACGCATGGTAAAACCTTTATTATTATTGTAAATCACAAGATGTTTTTTATAAGTAATAAGATGAAGCAAACATTAATTTTCAATTAACTTGGTGAATTAACATTCTCTTCTATAAGCAAGAAACACAGGCACACACAAAGCAAAACAAAATCATTTTACAAGTCAAAATATTAGCTTTATTGGATGATTTTTAAATGTCAAGAAATTATACTTGATGGGATTTAGATATTTTTAATTAGATAGCTAGATAGAACTAGAATGTCTGATTTTTTTGCAAATATAAAATTTTGCAAAAAGTTACTACAAAATCTGCAAATTCTGCTGTAATTTGCAGAATTTGCAAAATCTATATGATTTATAATATAAATTATATATTTTGCATAATGATAATATAGTTTTTATAATTTATATTATAAAAATAATATTTTTTATAGGATTACAAATATTTAATAAAAGAAAGTATATATAATCAAAAGAACTTATTAAAAATTAAATTTTAAAAAATCAGATAATTAAATTTAAAAATTCTGTAATTTTGAGATATAATATTTCAATATTTAATAGTTTAATAATAAAACTATTAGTTTTATTAACTAGATAAATTCAATACTTTTATTTTTATAAAAATTAAATTATTAAATATCAAAATATAAAGACAATTCTATTATAATAAATCTTATTTAATTAAAATACTAATTAAAATTGAAGTAAATTTATCCTATTAAATTAAATTTACTAATATAAACTGAATTTTTTACTAATAATATTAATTATTTTAATATAATAGAATTATCTTTATATTATATTTTTAGTATTACTAAATTTTTTAAATTAGATTAATTTATAGTAATTATTATAATAAAATATAATAAATTATTATATAAAAATATAATAAACTGGATATTCTAAATGAAAAAAGAATAATTAATAGAAAAGATTAATAAAAATCTAAATAAATACTATAAATTTACTAGATAATAATTGCATAAAAATTATATAAATTATATAAATATACAAGTTAACAAAATCAAAAAAATTAAATATTTTATATAAATATATAAATTAAAAAAATTAAAAAATTATATATATTATATAAGTCATACAAATATATAAGTTAATAAAATTCAAATAAATAAATATATAGTAGCAATCAAAAATAATAACTCAGAGGCTAAATTTACTAATAAAATATAGTGAAAATTAAAATTTTCTATCTATATTAAAATTTATAATTTTAATAAGAAATAATTTTTATTTTTATATTAAAATAAAGTTTATCAGTTGTAGTTT